CCTATCCAGCAGAAAATGTCTGTTGAAAAAGTGAGGCTAATCAGACAAACTGCTGTGAAGTTTGGAGTTGAGATTTCTCACTTTTTCTAAATCTTCCTGATAGCTTTATTGCGCTGGTATTGCTAAAATTGTATTTGGAATTGCATTTCTGAATCTGGACTCTCAGCTCAATCAGTGCAGCTCTACAGCAGTCAATGGAGCAACACCAAATTTCACCAGTTGAGAAGCTGTCCCTAAGGATTTAACATAATTTTTATCTTCCTAAAGCTGACAGAAAATGAAGTTATCTGTAAGCCCAACCGCATTCTGTACGGTTATAAACTGAATGTGAAGACATTAAAATACTGACTAATGCAAGTCACAGGAAGTGCCATTCTTTCCAATATTACATTTAAAAGAGTAGTAATGCAATTAAAAAAATGTTAAATCTAAAGCCGCAATTAAAATACCTCTAATTCCAGCTGTGGTTTGAGAGTGACGTAAGTTCTTAACAAATTTTCGAGCATCGCCAGCATACCGGTATTTCTTCTTATAAATGACCAAGGGAGAAACAAACCCATTTCCATAAATCATTGTTGGATGAAAAACAAGCATTAAAAAGGAGGGTTGAAGTTGTTTAATATTACAAATGTTTTGGAGCTCTATTCAGTAGTTGGCAAGTCACACAAGGCTGCTCTGAATTCTTTATAATCTAGACACAAAGATCATAGCACTCTGGAAGAACCTCTGGGCTTTTAGTCAAAAATATGTTGGCTTCTATTTACCTCTTTCCTCATTTGTATCTCTCAAATGGCTAAATGTATAAATAAAGTCCGGGTGTTCTTATTAGCTAAGGCACTATTTCATGCAGATTAATGCCAGCAGGTTTAGTAAAATACATTTCTATTCAAAGTTAGAGTATGTTTTGAATTAATTTTCTTTGTGTATATGAATCAGGTATATTCTGTTTGAGCCCCTATGCCCATGGGGGCCAACTTTTTTGGCAGATATGCCAGAATTTAGCCCTGCACTTACCCTGAGTGCCACATTCATCTCCTTCCTCTAATTGATTGCTCAGCTTTCTACTCCCTCCCTATGTGTCCCCTGCCCAATTTTCCTGCTCTGCCTTCTGCTTCCTTCCCTATTTGCTGCTGTGTTGCCTGTCCACTCCCTGATCTGCTGCATATCACACACACAGGCTACTTGTAGTACTCATGGAGTAGGCTGGCCACCCCTTCTCTACTTAATGTTCAACAGCAGCAGATTTAAACAACTTTCGGTGGCATGTTCAAGTCCCAGTTTGGCCAACCTTCCCTATCCAGCAAAAAGCTTCCCTTTTAAGCACATGCTTTACTCCCTTCACTTTAGTGAGACTTCTCATGCTCTCAAAATGATTAAAATGCAATTTAAAGCAGGATTTTGATGATTAGCAGTGTCGGGGCCTAACTGACACTGTTAGCTTTCTCTGAAAAACACTGATTTAAAGGTTACTTGATGTATATGTCACCAACATATTCATCAGAATTCAATGAAAACAAATTTATGGTAACTAAATAAAAACTGTCCACTTCCCTTCACCCTTAAAGCCAGCTAAAATTCTGAAACTAAAACTAAAATGCTGCACTGGCAACTAATAAGAAAATTAAATTGCTTTGTGAATTGGGCTAAAACAGTGAGATTTCAATCTGAGGGCAGTTTTATTGAACTAGTGTGTGATTGGATTTTGTTCAAATAAATACACTGGATGTTTCCAGGAACTTTTTGATCAGATTGCCATTACAGATCCAGCATCCCATGCAAGATAACTCAGAATTTCGCTATTTTTGCAAATATTAAACTGCTTTGTTAGAGCTCTCCTGGCTTTGGAGTGGTTGGGTTTGTAAATGTAAACACCCTAACAAGCCAAATCCCCAGACTGATGTATAAAGCTGTGATGAAATCAGAGAATGGCGAGGGAATCTATATGGGATTAGGGTGCAACACAAACTCTTTGGATCATTCCAGTGTTCGTGTTAAGGATTTAATTTCTGTGCTACAAAAACTTATTTTAATATGCTACAATTACAGAACGGTTTGTACTTAGTCCACATTTTAATTCAATTACTCCAAAGTTGCATCAAGTGTGAGCTATGCTGGACAATGTAATATGAATGAATGTATCTGCAGTTGTGTACATCAGTGGGTCTCAGCTTTTCCATTCAGTGCAAAGAAAAATAGTTTGGAGACAATGCAGTCATTTAGGAAGGGAGGATGGCTGCATCCCCAGGAGCCTGGCCATGGCTCCTAGATCGAGAGCTTATAATGATCATGTTATCACACCCAGGCAGTGGAGCAGAGGCAAAAGTCTGGAGGTTGTGATTTAGACTGAACTTCTGGTTAAAAGAAAGGAGCTAGTGTTCAGGCATCATAGTAAGGTGTGCAAATAGAATAAGGCAGAGAGAAGCATCTCAGTGAACACAAAAAATGCAAATGAAATGCAACCCCCCCCCAGAAAATACATTTTTGCCATTGAAAGTAATGATGTTTAATCATTATGATGCTTAAACTGAGGTCCCCTAAGGTACACACCAACTGATATCTTTGTCCTTTTAATTTCCCCTTCAAGGTGGCCTGCAATTTTTTTTTTAAGTGGAGTTATGCTGGGGTTTTTTCCTTTTTCTTTATGATGTATTCAGAAGCCCTGAAAAAGAGTTTTCCAACTAAACAGATACAATTATAATGATGTGAAGGGTTTGGTTTTTTAAACTTTAGAAATAGCTGGAGGCCAAACATAGTCTTCTCTGAGTTTTCCTGGAGGGTCTCAAAGGTCAATGTTATGAACATTACCGACCTTTAATTAAAAGTTTCAAGGTGCTAGACCTTTAACAGTAGCTTCTTCTCCCTAAACATCAAGTGGCCATTTAAGCTAAATAAGTATGAACAAAATCTTACACAATGCAAACCATTTTCAATGTTTGATATCCCTTTCCCCCCTCAGTGCTCAGCTGTTGACTTCCATATCTCTGTAGCTACGGGATTCATGTAGGATAAGCAAGCCCTGACTTCCTGAGTGTAGAGAATGAGAAGATAGAATACAAAGAATATTTCCTTTTACCCTTGTTTTGTGATCACTTTTAAATTTGGGGACTTTCTTGGGTAAGGATTAGGAATCCATTTCATTATCACCAGCTAGCATTTGCCGGCATTGAAAACCGAGCTGCTTCAGAAGGGGTCTCTTTGTGGGTGTCTTCAGTTTTGTAAAAAAAGAAATCTTAAAAGTTACCAGGCAGAAACTAGGGAAGCTCAACACCGCCATAACTCCTAACGTTGGATCCCTGGCTTTTGTTAGAGCTCTGTAATATGTGCCTGAGTCACCGTTTCCAGGGCTGTAATCGCATCCAGAGGCAGAAAGGAGGAAAAGAAATGCAATCTGCAAAACTGAAATACTGCAAAAGTGTGGAACAGACCAAGCTTGTAGCCTCTCTCAGTGGCTGTGCCGGGCCACAGGGGGGCACTCCAGCCTTACTCTAGCTGGCCTGTTAGGCCAATGCAGTTTTTTTGTCTTTGAGGTCCTGTCATTCTCTGTATAAACAAGTTACGTTCAAGTGTTTAGGATATAAATTACGACCATGCAGGCTTGCCTTGGAAAGAATGTAAACACAGCACTGTGGTCGGAGCAAACTCTGAAGCTGACTTTATAATTTATTGCAGGCCCCTGAGAAGCTCAGGGGGGGAGAGGGGGGAAGAAGGGGGCATGTTGGAGAATGGCTATGGAAAGGGAGATTGCACAAAGGAGGCAGAGAATCATAGAAAATTAGGGTTGGAAGGGATCTCCCGAAGGCATCTAGTCCAACCCCCTGCTCCAAGCAGGACCATCCCCAATATCTCACACCAGCCAAGGCTTTGTCTGCCTGGGTCTTAAAAAAAAAGAGAGAGAAGGAAGGGCAAAGTCTCCTGTTCCCTGGGTAAAGGGGCAAGAGTGATTGGGGTTGCAGCATGCTGGGTCAGGGCTCACTGACTGGGGGAGCAGGGCTCTCCTTTAGCAGGGACCGGGCCACCAAGTCTCAGACTGGGGTGAGGGGGAAACCCTGCCCAACACTATTCATGACCCCCCTTCCTCCTCCCCAGCACTGGTTGGGGGAGAGCTGAGGATGAAGGCTGCCAGGCTCCCCCCAGCAGTGCTGAGGATTCCCACGGGCCCTTTGCAAGGTCCCTTAAGCAGCCTAGTGGGAGAGGGGCACCAGGAGGCATGGAGGAGGGCCCCTATAGATGATCCCCGCAGTTCCCTGCCTCCAGCTGGCAGGGAGATGTGTACAGGGCAGCAGCTAGGCAACAAGCTGGGTTGATGAGCTGAGCTGCAGGACCATCTGCAGCCCTGGGATCATCTTGTCTATAACAAGGATAATAGACGTACATGGCCCAGGGCTTTCCACTCACTTGAGCTGGGGCAAGTGAAGGAAAAAGCCACGATAGCCAAACAGGATGCTCTTACAGGGCCTGTCTGCTCTCTTCCCCACCCCCACCCAGCCCAAGTAAGCGGTGAAGATGGGTGACCCTGCCTGCCAGCTCCTCAAGGGGCAGCAGGGTGGGGTCCATGTTCTTACTCAGCTGCAGGGAAATAGGGGGTCAGAAGGAGCAGGGTGGAAAAGGCAGCCCTAGCAGCCAGGGCCCGGCTCTTGGTACAACACAAAGCCCAGGGCACTGCAATCAGTTGCTTGGATGTGCTGTTATTGCCAAACACAGAAAACTCAAGGGTGCCTGTGTGTTTGCGTGGGTGCCTGTGTGGACGGTGGGGGAGAGGCTTGCAGTGGTCAGACCCATCCCAATATGGATCAGCTGCTTGGAAGAGATAGTATTAGGTTTAAAAGGACAAGTCCACGGACCGTGACAGTGACAGGTACAGCCTGTCCAGTGCATGTTGGTTTATATACATTTTATTGGAAAACAACAACAACAAAACCAAAAAATTTTGTACATCAAAATAGTTTGGCAAAACTGTAAAAGTTATACATAAGTGCAAATATATTCTCCTTTTAAAGCAATAGTGTGTGAGTATACACAAGTTTTGTTTAAAATATTATTTTAAAAAATACTGTGGTAGAAAACTTTGTAAAAAACATCGAAACACAACGTCGTGTTGCCGCAATATGGGAGGAGGGGCAGGGGACAACGGACTTTCTTAAAGTCTATACACGAAGTTTCTAAACACCATTGCTGTAATACTATCAATCGGTGTTGGAGTCCGCAAGAGTATTTTGCTTTTCCCCCGCTTCGGAAAAAAGAAGTTAATTTTAACACTACAGCAACAGAAAGGTGGTTTCCCGCAGGTGTTGGGATTGAGGAAGGCTTTTTTTTTTTCTGCCCACTCTCCTGAAACATTTTTTTAGTAGGAGAAATGGCCTTATGTCCCCTTTTTCCAAAGCTTATTTCGCCAGGGGAATGGAGATCGCAGAAATGCATTGGATGATTAACCTGCTCGGACTTCCCATCCAGAGACCCGTCCCCCGCCCTTCCCAAACACAGACACAAAAGAAAATCTTTCGGTGGGGCGGGGGCGGAGGGGGGAAGCTGTGAGCTGTTATATCATGTGGGTCTGTCCTTCAAGGAGTGGCCGGGCGGACACTGCCGACACTTCTGCCTCGGGGAATGACTCGTGCTAAGTGACTCGTGTTGTATTGAATGCTACCAGAGTGCACATTACATTGGACCTGCGTGAGCCCCGCTATACCTCCAACCTGTTACACAGCCCCCCGATCGTCTGTCTGTCCGCCTGCCTGGGCTCACTGCCGCTCCCTTCACATCACGCAGGGCTTGATGTCTTGACAGACGCTTTGGTGGTGATGGTGGTGATAATAGGACCCACTAGCGGATGGATGGAAAGAAGAAATGCCATTGAAATTGAGAACGAAATCTTTCCGGTCACACACTGGGGAAGAGTGATGCTGGTAGCGAGGCAATCCCACTGCAAGAGAGGAGAAGAACATAATACGGGTGAAGTCAGGCTGACAGCCCGGTTGGGCCAGTTGCCGCGCATCAGGAGGCCCCGCTCCTGGAGGGCTGATCTGGACACGAGTCTTTCAAGATCTCGTGTCTCGGGAGCAGGCCCCTCCCCGCAGTGAACAGCTGTCCGCGTGCGTGGGCACCAGGACGCGGGTTTACCCCTCCGCGGGTAGCCATCTCTGCAGCTCGGAGACCTGCCCCTGCCTGGCCATGGATGTGTGCACGGCTGTATCGGGGCGTGGATGCGCTGCAGCACCAAGACCGCTGGTATATTTTTCTGAGCCTGCTTCACCCCCTCCCAGGTCAATCGGGGACTCGCTCCCGGCTTTGCCTGCCAGACGGATGCCAGGGAGAAGGAGCCCCGCTGCCGGGCGCGCTTCGGTCTGTGTCCAGGAGGCGGGGGCCAGGCTCCCGTGTCACCTACCTCCGCTCAGGACAGAGGCCGCTCCGTGAGTGTGTGTGTATCACAGGCAGAAAGCAAAGTCCTCATTAACCCGCTCGCCCAAGATCACGTCTTGGCCTCCCTTGCCACATCCCGCGGCTCCCCGCGCTGGGTCGGTCTCCGGTGGCCTTTGGGCAGCTCCGCTCTGCAGCAGCGGGCCTGATCAGAGGGTTCTGATTCCGGGCATTGCTCTCACTGAAGCCGGGGGGACTGGCTTGGGGCAAAGCTGCAGGGTGGGACGTGGCCCCGGGACATCGGCTCCGATTGGGATGAAATGGGGAAGAGGCGGAGAGGGCATGAACTGCTTTTTTTTTTTTTGCATGGACTTTGGGACGCGGGCGGAAGGAGCTATATTGGAGGCGCTCTTCTCCCACGGTGGAGTAAGAAGCCCCCTGGCAGCCCCGGAGATGTCTCAGGGTAAGGCGGAGAAAGCTCCACCGAGCTCTGCGGCAGGGGGCGGGGGTGGGCTGCCCCCCCCCCGCCCCCCCCCCGCCGCAGAAAAACTATAAACCGGGCGCTTTCTTGTAATCCAGATCCAGGGTTTATCACAGCGTCCGAACCCCCCCTCAACCCGCTTCCCCCGAGCCTGCAGGGAGACCTCGCCTCTGGTTTCAATCTCGGCCAGTTCTTCTCTGGGCCGGTGTTAGCCCGAGGCTCCCAGCCTGCACTGTAAGGCGAAGGTGGATGAGCCGGTGATTGGAGATCGGTTTCTCCCCGGGTAAAAAAAAAAAAACCAACCAAACAAAACCCCCTTGCAGCCTACCCTGCTGTAAAAAATGGAGCTATCGGGATGCCCTCTCTGATGCTGACCTGTCATAGCTCCACTTACTTGGTTGAAAAGACTGATCCCAAATCATTCTTACCTCCCGGCCCCCCAAACACACACATACTTGCCCCGCAGACAGTTCTCCATAACGCCAGCGGGGTTGTGTTGCTCCGCACGTGCAAGGCATTGTTAAGCAACCAGGCAATTAGCTTTCGAGCTGCTTTCATTA